TACTATAAAAGTTATCAGAATAACAATAATTTTAAGGCTATTTACTAACTTGGAAAGATGTTCATGATTATATAAAGTGAAGGAAAGGCAACACAACCACATCCAGTGTACACATGGATTCTTAGATGCATCTCAACTTAATAAATATTAACATGGGAAAAAACTGAATTTCTTAGTCTTCAGGAAATAGGATATATACAAAGAAAAGAGTTAAATGCACACAAAAAATATGGAACAATGCTATGGGGTCAGTGGGATTACAGGTAATTTTTATTTTCTCCTTTTTGCTTCCTGCATCTTCTATTACTATAATAATATTATTGCTCAAATAACAAAATTGTTTATGGTTTATAAGTAAAAACTCTTTCATGTATAGGAAGCACTTCCAGCTCCTGCCCAACCACCTCAAAAAGGTGATTTGACACTTGTAATCTCAAGCAAGTTGGAACAGAGCTTTCCCAGCCTACTTTTACATATGGGAAAGTACAGAGCTCAAAGGAGTTAAGGAACTTACCCAGTGCCATACATTACATCATGGTTTGCAATCCAGCCAAGACAGGAGTCTGGGGGTATCCTGAAGGTCCCCTCCAAGACAGTACACTAGCTTTGTGCCATTTCCTCAGTCCATGCACCCCCTAGAAACAAGGCTCAAGATGAGCTAACCCCTTGCCCTTACCTCTGCCAGGCGGGAGTGCTTGTGGACATTCTCGCCTTTCTGCACGCTGGGAGCCAGCTGCTGCAGGACACCCCTGCTGCTTGTCAATGCTCTGGTCAGCCGAGCAAACTTCCCCCAGCCTGAAGCATGTGGAAGAGTGAAAAGACAGGGTCAACCACATCCTGAAGGAGCACAGACATTCACATCACCTGTCACAATGTCAGAAACAGACCCCCGATGTCATCCTGAACTCCCATGAGTCACTCCACATCCCCACAAGCAAGACTCACTGCTCAGAAAAGCGCCTTGACACACTTAAAAGTGTGTAGCAATTTGCTTTTCCCATGCACTTTCATCCTCCTCACAGCTTTGTGGAGTATGTAGGGTAGATTTTAGTATCATTGTACTATTAGGGAAACCAAGGCACAGAGTGATTAGACAATGAGAAAGAGTCTAGAACCCAGATCTCTCCACTCTGGCCCAAGGCTTTTCCACCAGGTAATATCAGGCAATAGAGATGTTTCTCTTACTTGGAGACTTGGCTCAGACTGTTCCCAATCCCCCTGCTGTCTGACCTTACAGAAACTGAGCTGGTTCTGGGTTTTAAATGGACAAGGTAGTCAAATGGCCATTCCATGATTACCTTCTCTGAGGCCAGCAGAGTAAGAAATGAATTCAACCCCTGGGTAGGTGGGAAAAGCACCAGCAGATTTTAGTCTGCTTTGGGATGGGGGAAGGATGGTTGGTGGCAGGGCTTTACTGAGAATCTAAGATGTCTGAGTGATCTTGACTGCTTTTAAAGGCCCCCAAAGACAATTGTCCATTTTAACATCCAAAAACCCATCTGCATCAAACTTATGACCATGGCAGTTGCCCCATGAGACCTTTGAAAGCCTGTCAGGGTCTTCAAGACGGGGGTTGGTTTCAGGAGCTCCGAAAACCACAGGTATATAGCAAATGAGCAGAGCATGCGACTATTTTTACATGACAGGTAAAAGCAGAACTAGGTGATTTTATTTTTTTATCCTTTAGAGTTTACAAGCATTCAGCACCTTCCAGTAGAAACCTCATCTGCTAAATTTTACCCTGGAGCACCTTTCCAAGACAGACTTAGAATCCAGAGGACAATGGAGTTAAGCAGAAGAATGGCCTTTATTATTTTTTCTGCACAACCTTTAAGAAT